CACAGGGCCCCAGCATAGCTCACAGATTCGGAGTGGCGCATTTAGTGGTCATCCTAAAGACGCACAACCCGCCGGGAGTGCAGGGTGCCTTCCGGTGGCCTCTGCGGTATCTTGTGACGAGAATACCCAGGAGCGTGCGTGAGTTACCCAGTTTCTCTTAGAAGCGCATTTTTCGATTCGTCCCTATGCATCGAGGAAACTGTACACCAGTATTTAGACTGAATCCAAAATATAATAATGTCTTATGCCTTCTGCAATGCGAGCAGATCAAGAGTGAGCGGTCTTCCTTTCCCCCAGGTATGATAAAACGTCACATCAACAATCTAGAAGAACTTTTGCCTTCGTAATTCGATGCACGAACTGTGCCAATGATTGCCAATTGCCCCTACGGCCTTCGGCTCAATCTTTACCAACGTCTTCTTGTACTGCTGTGCATCACATGCTGCAGCAAGAACTAGGCAACGAAGATCAAGGAACTTTTGGGCGCAGAGGGCAATTTCAAGAAAAGCATAACCTATCTGCTCTCAAGGATGCTTCGCATAGATTCCTTTATCGTGCAGCAGAGCATCAAAACTCCTTTGAAGTCGAAGTCGTGCTCCCAGGTGTGGATGAATTGGGCGTTCGCCAGAAATATTGTTGAAGGATGTCTGTTAAAGCAGTCAGCGCCAATCTCGTAGTGAATAAGATCATTGGAGGACCTGGGGCACAGACAGTCAAAAATTCAATTCCTGACAAGGTTTTCTAAATGCTTAGCTTAGTAGAAAGCTGAGCATCCCTCTGACGACGATGCTGAACCACGTAGATGCTGAACTACTTAGCTTCGACTATCCTATGGATTTTCTTATGCGATGCTTCAGGGGGAACAATTGAAAACGTTCGACGCGAATTTGCCACGAATAGTTTGCTCTTTTCTGGGCGGCTTAACGACCCTTCGTGGCGTATTCAACTCCCAGGTAACAGCTAAACGTAGCTAGCTCAACACTTGATTGATACAAGTGACGAAGCATGCATTGAAGTTCTCAGGCATCTGGAAGATTAACGGCATTAAAAGATATGTACGCTGTTTCTGCTACATGCCCAGGTGATCCTGCTACTTGTCGACTTCGACTGCGTGTACCACTGAAATTCCGCATATCGTCGAATGCGGTCACCATCGACCAGAATTTTGCAAACGGCCACATCTACGTCTCAATTCAGAGATGATACGATTGATGGCACTCAAAACCAGTTTTTGATTAAGCCTTCTGTTTCTCCTGTGTTCAACTAATGATAATACATGTTGCCTAATAATCACATGTGCTTTGACTTCTATGCACCAAAGTGATATGAAACCATCCTGGCACTTCCCATCAATCGATCCACGTCGGTTCGACGACAAAACAANCACCAAAGTGATATGAAACCATCCTGGCACTTCCCATCAATCGATCCACGTCGGTTCGACGACAAAACAAAATTGTTTCAGCGTTAAAAAAGCATGTGGCCAGCTACTCAGGTTGGCTACGCGCTTTCCGGGCCACGCGATGCAGCGCAACACAATGCCATTCGGCTTTCATTCTGAGCCATTTCGCCGGCTGTCATGTCGCTATGCCACATCTCCGTTTTGGAGTTCAGCAGTCCTTTGGAAAGAGTGATGGTAAAGATATAACGAAATTACATGTGTTTTACAATGCCCGTACCGTTGATGCGTGCCGCATGGATGCCTCCCTGATAGAGTTCTTGCAGTGAGCAGAGGTGAGCTGCGGGCTCTCCACACATGTTAGAGTTCATTGCGAAATCGTATCCGCAAGAATCGCAGCCTGTACATTCCTCTTGTTGACGCATGCCTTTGCAGTAGTGAGTGCATCTGATCTCACCTAGCGAAACGAACTCGGCATCTGGTACACCAGTCAGCGCGGGCATGGTCATGGCAGATACTTCATGGTCCTGACGATGCGCTTAGACTTCCGTCAGGAGAGGCATTCAATGGGCGGTTTCACTTACAGGAAGCCCTCTGGTGTATACGCGGAAGTCATCAATGTATCCCTGGACGAAGCGTGATGAAGCATGCAAAGGAAGTTCTAAAAGTGGTACACTTTACCTCGAAGCCGGGGTTCTCAATGGAAGCTCCAACAACGATGTCTTCAGTGTTCGGCACAACGTTGCCCCGAAGGAACTGTAACTTGTGCGTAGGAAGCGGTGTTGAGGTGCAGATTACACTGCTTT